TAACCATCACCAAACTATGCCAGTTTGTAGCAAACATTATGAGCTTCAATTAAGCTTAAAACGAAAAAAAATGCACTTTTTAAAAAAAATTACTTTTTTAATAACAATTATATATTTTTTCATTGAAACAAACGAATTTTTTTTACAGTGTATAGGTTTAACATTATTGCCAAAATAATATGTACAACTTTGCTGAAGACACCAAATCAATCCAACAAACCGTTTAAGCAATATATATTTTTTAACTCATTAGTACTATTTTCACACAGGCCCTGTTAGAAAAGTAGTCGTGATTCAATTTGAACTGATAACACAAATTGGCATCTTTACTAAAAAAGAACAACTGCGCAAATTTTCATCAAAATCTGAGACGACAAATTAAAAAAATAAATTAAAAAATTCGTCAATCTATAGAGAATTTCTCAAATAGAATTCAAATACCGAACGTAAATTCAATGGTCCTTTCCAATTTTGAATGATCCGCTAATGAAAACTGAATACCATTTTTTTATTGATTGACATATGGTAGTTCAGAAGTGAGACCTGAAAACCTTCCCACTAGGAAAAATGTTACATACGTACGGTTCCCCCAAATTGCAATATCCACACAAACCCATTGCAGCGAGTAGATTTCTGATTTGCATTGGAATGCAGCGCTAAATTGCATTTTTGTTCCCGTTCATAAAAGGTTAGACGACGAACGCAGCCACCGACGACAACCGGCTTCATGGTGGGTGAGGGAAGCAAGTGTTGCGCATTTTTAAAAACAGTACATCACTTCCAGCATCTGGAACCAGGGGGAAACTTTCCCAGTCGATTGCACTCATTTCGCGCATTTCCTGTGTAGTAGGGAGACACAGGAGCAGAATTTACGATTATTGAGGGAGATGCTGGTTGCAATCTCCCATCCGGTCTGTTCTCGTGGAGGGAGTGAAAAGCAGTGCACCCAATCTCGACAGCCACCCCCTCCCTCCTTATAGGAGAGGGAAAGGGTGCTATCCTGTTCTGGGGAGATGACGATGGCAAATGCACCCCAGAATGCAATGCAACTGCTGGAATGGGTTTAACATAAAATTTCATTTACCACACGTTTTGTTTATAGTGCCTACAGTGCAGTGCTACCGCACGCAGAAGGGTTGAGATTTAGTGAGTGTGTAGGAGCCAAGACTCTGGTCTGGTGTTTTGTGGGTGGGTGGGGAATGGCTTGCCGGGGGTGGGCACATTGATGCTGAGGGTGGCAATGTTCCTCTCGGGTGGCATGTGAGATGCTTCATAGGCAGTAGACTGAGATATAAAGTCTTATTAAACAACTTCCCCCTCAAGAAATATGTACCTATGTAGGCACATAATTGAGAGAAATTGTGAGAGCCAAGGCGCCGGAGATTGGTTTTCTTGAAGAACATTTTCTTAATAATAAATCATAGGCACATAAGGTTGTTAAACAATCTTCGAGAAGTTATGTTTGAATTTTGTCTTACCGTCCAAGAAGGAGAGCTCCCTGGTGAGTCTGGGATGTGAGCTCTGCTGTTAGACATTTTAGCAAACGTTCCAATCTTTTTACGAGATGCTCCTGGATTGCATGATTTCAATTAAAAATTATGGCCCCATCCATTCGCATACTCCAACGACCCACCTTTTCCTCTTCCTGCTTGTTCTTCTTCAAAACCAAGCTTCTTTTATTCCGTTAAAAGGAATAGACCGTGAAATATAAAGGTAGAACCCGTAGGAGAACCCTTTTAGACAATTATTTAAATTAAAATAAAAGGATGCACGGGATCGTTCCATCGCATCCCCGGGAAGAAACCTCAGTGTGCTACAAAAAAGCGAAATTCTAGCAAAACTTTTTCACGCCCACCACCCCTTCGCGTAGGTACAGCTCATCACTGCAGTGCCGTAGGAAGGGATGGGTTGTTTTTAATAGTGTATTTGAACATGCTTGTAGTCAGTTTAAGTAGTTGTATGTTCTGGTGTAATAAAACATATGTTGGGTAAAACATATGCCTGTATTTTATTCTAAAATATTAATTTCTCAAAAGCGAAAATTACTAATCATGGAAATTATCACTCGTGCAAGCATCACAGAAACATACCAAAGTAGCACACATCCGTCACAGAAGATTGCAGTAACTTGATTGTGAACGAAATAAGTCACATAGAGGTAACCTCAACCGGTTTGTGGCCAGTGTGCTACTAGGGTAAGAGCCTTTCTTGGTTACTAAACATTGCTGAACGACTGTAAATTGACAACAACAGCAGAACGAAGCAAGCGGGGAACTGAACATTTCCTGCATAGTACAAACGCGATTGACTGCGTAAAACTGAACTTTCTCGTTTATCTGCTTAAAATGATACTTGTTCGCCATATCAATATCAATCTCACACTTAAACCTTTGTTGAAAGTAAATGATTGATGCCTTGTATTAAACGCTCACTCGTACGAATGCAGTCGAAACGGATAAGGATAGAAAGAAAAATCACAGTCGAAAGTGAAAACGAATAATGGTGGGGCATCTCGCTCAAGTCATTGTTCGTTACTCAAACGATTTATTCTCATTTAGAGGCTCCAATAAGAAAATCAAAATCTACGTTTACATCCAATTTAATTTCTAATTAAATCGAATCCATATTCTCCAGCTCTTTGAACTCCTTACTACGACGACGTTTCACAGTGACCACCCACGGTGCCCAATTCATTCTCTGATTTCCGGACCCCTACCTGCTGCTTCAAACAACCATGTAGCTACACGGTTTAATTCATATTTTATTATACACAGCCATATTTCTACATTTTTAAGAGACAACAGCGTTTAAACCGCATCGTTGCATTAGACGAACCCGTGATCCTTTTTCTGTGCCATGCCATCCCGTTTGCCACCCATCTGCTCCAGTCGGGGTTTCCAGCATTCATTTTTTTTTTGCTTACCCCAGCCGAGGAAATCCAAACATACTTTACCCGTATACATTCTATTTGAAGGGCAGCAAACCAAAAAAGCACCTCCGAGCCGTATATATTTTCGCTAAATTATATTATTAATAATTATATCTACAAACAGCGCCACACCAACGACGACGACGACGATCTGCGTTGGAAAATTTGGGACGTAAAAGCGAGTGAGTAGTCTGTTTTTCCGTTGCCCATCCTAGCCAGTTGGAAGCTGCTTGGATGGGTGGGAAGAAGGACGTTGTCGTTGGTTCACTTGGATAGCAAGCAACAGAAGAAAAAAAAAATCACTTGCAACATAGTGCTGCTGCAGCTGATTTTGGTACGCGGTGTAGTAGCAGAGTTCTTCTTTGCTGTCCAGCGAACTAAAGCAACGAATGGTGAACGAAGGTTCAACCGCACCACCCTCGCCATGCCACACGAAGTAGCCGTGTGATGGAGAAACAATTCCCAAAAAATTACGACGAATAAAAAACACTATTCCCTTTTAGCTAACCTTCCTACCAGCGAATTGGGTCGTGCCGAGTTGACGTGGCAACGGGTTCCGAAATATTCGTGCTAGCAGGAATAGGTAGTGCTACGTTCTGACGAGGCTTCTACTTTGGGTGAGGGGGAATAAGCGCCTTTTTTGGGGACCATGTCCATAGTGGGTTTGTAGCGAGAAAATGGTAATTTAAGAGGATGCTCAATGCGATTCGTAAGCAAAACAGCTTTTCAGTGGTTATGATGATAACCCATCTTTGTAAATTAGGTAGATCATCCATCAAATCTGGGAAACTGTACACAATTATTCATAAGCTTCTAAAATCAGGAACAAGCATCACTGGCTCCAGAAAATTAAATTCCTTGAGGATTAAAAGTAAAAATTATGTGCAACAGCTGTTTTATGGCTACAGGTCTATGATCATCTTCTTTTACTAATGCATGGATTATGCAATACATTTGCTCTGATACTAAATGAAAAGATTCTCTTGAATTCCGGAAGAAGATAGTTGATGTCTTCCTGGAAATAAAAAGGGAAGTGTCTGATGAATTTGCTTGGAAATGATAGGAATATGAATAGAGTATGTAGCTATTGCGATTATGCATGACTATCGATTTCTGGATAAACTGACGCAATTAGTAAAAGCGACGATGGATCGAATGATGTGTGTTGTTCGAGTATCGGAGACACTCTCGAATTCTTTTGAATCTCGAATGGGGTTACGGCAAGGTCTGGAATTTCGTGTCAGCTATTTAATGGAAGGTGTGATAAGAAGAGCGGGGATATACACGAGTGGTACGATCATCATCTTGGCTTTGCCGAGGACATCGACATCATGACACGAAACTTTGAGGCGAATGCGGAAACGTACATCCGGCTGAAGGCTGAAGTCAGGCGGATTGGACTTGCCATCTACGCATCGAAGACGAAATACATGATAGGATGAGGTTCTAGAGAAGAGAATGTTAGCATCGCACCCTGAGTTTAGATTAACGGTAACGGAATCGAGGAGGTCGACGAACTCGTGTATTTGGGCTCACTGGTGACCGCCGATAATGATACTAGCAGAGACATACAAAGACGCGTTTGAGATATGTTTATTAGATTACTCCATTGATAATGCTATAAATATAGCAGAGATATTAGAGGATCGCAGCAGGCCGCGCTTGAAAGCTGACGTGTTTTTCTTTTGCTACGTATTTTTCGTCAGCGAATTAAACATTTTTTGCATTACATTTGTTAATTTGTGTGCTGAAATTTCGTTATAAGTGTCCATAAAATTATCATTTAGTAATAATAATATATCGTATTTTGCCTGTTTTTGCCTTGAGCGACTCGGTTTTATTGTTCGATGTCGGTTTTCATTGTCTCCCAGGAGCCCGGTTCTCCGAGTTTGGATGCCACACTTTGGGCGTGAAGTTCTATTGAGAGATTCGTCACCGTGGGTGAGTTTGAACCCGTTCCGGTTGATGAATTAGCCCGGGAACGTGCTAATAATGTGTCTGTCGCGAGTTTTGGTGCTGATGAGGTGGCCGACGTTGCCGTGAATCAGCAAGTTTTCCGCTTGCAAAATAGCTCGACTACTGGTCTCTCGCCGGCCGGTGTCCGAGGTTGCGAGCAATCTGAATGATGCCTCGTTGGATACGCACAAGACTGGACGCGTGGTAGTTGGTGGCCGCGAACAGTTCCTGGGGAAAGCTCCAGACGCCCAGATGACCATGGAAATGCATGAAAATTTGTGTTCTTTGAAGGAAGTATTACGACAAAGGTGCATCACGAAATGAGATGCAAAGCGTAGAGAAAAACAAATCTACGGAACCCATGGATTGGAGGATCAAATTAACTGGTCTCACCATAGTCCAAATACTTTTTAAATTAAAAAAAATAAACAAACTAAATACGTGCCAGGATTCAAAAGAACATTTTTAAACTGGAAGTGTGTGTGTAATACTAATATCCAATTGATAGAGGTAATACATACATGCGGGGCTTATTGTAAGTGAAAGTAGCCTCGGAATGGGCGTGACTCTCCAGACATTCTGAAATGGGTTGCTGGATCTGAAATAGAGCTATCACTTTCTAACTCCCTAACTAACTAACAATGACCATAAATGTGACATTGTAGAGAGAGTTCTTCCATAATAACAAGGCCGGCCAGTGGGGGTTAGAGGGACTACACACACAAATATAGCAGAGATATTAACAATAGTTGTCAGGTCAGCCCTCTATTTCTTGATTGTATATATTTTCTTGATGATTGTAATAGTGACTTTACTTTTGGTACAGCACCGATAAGGCCGGTACTTGCATAGTAGTCTCAATTGAAAAAACGTCATGTTTATAAAATGACGACTAAAGGTATTTGTATAATTTGCTGTTTTTTAGCCACATCTAGCCCTAATATCCAGTATTTATGGTCAAAATAGTTTCATTGCAACATCAGTTTATCATTGGTAACTTGAACACATTCATAGCTGTGGTCTTTTGTTAGGATATGTGGAACGCTGCCGCATGCCAGTCCCATTACTCAATATCGCTTGATTTGTTTTTTGAGCGTAATACCATAGAGGTAACTCTAAGACTAGAAGGTCCCGAAGAAACGTGCTCAACTTTTTGGCTCTGCTCTGGTACTCTCTTCGGTCCCAAGCTAATCGATTCACCCCTTGAAACATAGGAAAATCCACTAACCCCTCATTTCATCTGTCAAACTTTTATAGCGAATCAAAACAAACATTGTGTAGTACTAGAATTTCGACTAGAATGGGGTACGTTAATCGTTTGCTTGGGACCAATAGGCTAGTCAAGTAGTGAGCCAATTTAAAATCGTTAGTTTCGTATTGATTGTTGGTAATACCATCGTCTGTCATGATTGACATTTGTACTACTGAGACCTATTACACCGATTGGGATTCTTTTTGAATCTAGTTTCTTAATTGAGGTTTACTAGATTAAAGGAATACAACGACAATATAATCATAGTGGTAACTCTAAGACCAGAAGGTCCCGAAGAAACGTGATCAATTTGCTGGCTCAGCTCTGGTACTATCCTCGGTGCCAAGCTAATTAATGCACCCCGCGAAACGTAGGAAAATCCACGAACCCCTCATAGCGAATCAAAACAAACATAGTGTAGTACTAAAATTTCGACTTCAATGGGGTACGCTTATAGATGTACTTGGGACCAATAGGCTAGTCAAGTAGTTTCCACCGGTTGGTATCATCATCACACAGCGCTATACATGTTGTGATTGTGAATATGTCTGCCTTTCGATTTGGTAGTAGTATTAGTACTACGGTATACAGATAGTAATTTCTATAGTTAGTCTCTAGCAATTGAACCATTTTAGGAGACCCTTAGCATGACCGATGGTTAAATTTTGATCTCGATGTTGCTAGGTACATACGAATTACAAAAAAAAAAATAGCTCGCATGGATCGGATGCATCTGTCAATTTTAATGCAGCAATAAGTATCCATGGGTGGCGCTAGTGCGCAAGCCATTTCTAACGTATTACCTTTATTACTACCGTAACATAGGTATTAAAATCGGATATCACACGTCTTGCCGTCTGTGACCGATTGTGGCAGTTGCCATGTATTATAAAAAATTAATAAAATATAAAAAAGTTGTACATGAATTGAAATGTTTCAAACCCCATCGAATTACCCCTTGTTTAGATTTTACGCATGAAACGTTCTCAAACAGTTCACTCACCGAAATGTTCATTAGGTGGTAAATGAGTTCTCTGTATCATTTCGGGCGCCAAAGCGTAATTCGATAGCCATACGAAGAGTCTAGGCAAACCACGCGTAAATGCACGGACATCGACATTTACAATTCTGCTTTCAGGATTTGTTGACCCGTCCCATCCTTTAATGCACTTCGGGTGGGATACTAATTGGTATATGCGTTAACTTGAGAGAAAGGGAATACTTTCCTTCGTATTTAGAAAAAAAAAACTAGTAGGGTTAACTACCCCATTTCCGTCCTATTAAGCACAACCCGCACTTAGTCTTTCTTAATCTAGCGCAGTTTAGCACCAAACGGAATGTTATTATTACTGATGGCTAAGATTTGATAAAGAGAAACCAATCGTTCAGATATTGTCAAAAGTATAACACTGCTTCTTGACGCCAAACTCGGCCTACGGATTCTAAACTCGGCCTAACGCATTGAAACGCCATTGAAACGCCAATGAATTCAATTCGGCCTATCGGATGAATTTAAAAATTGATTCGATCAGATCGCTTCTTTTGTTTTTGGGAATAATAGGTGGAAACCTTCATACCACGCGTTCTCATTGACTTCGTTCGGAAGCTTATTAACTAAAGTATCGTACCAAACGCATAATTGACTTGTTAACTCTGAAATCATGGATTTATTTGTAGTTTTCTGCTCGATAGGCCCAAAATAGGCGATTAGGCCGAAGTAGTTCCCTACCCTATGCGTGAAGGCGATTTTTTAAACTTCGTGAAAATCAACTTCGTTGATTTCACGTAATTTCCGGCGACGAAGATTACAATTCTTGCGCCTAATTGTTCAATCCTTCTGCTTGGGGCAGGAATTCATCCGATGCCCCTCCGTCATGCAAGAGAAATACACATTTTTGGTCCCTTGATAGAATATGTTCCCCTTTCGATTGAGGAAATGCAGCGAGTTAGGAATCTCCTTTTTTATATCCATATATAGACCCCGCACACCTGTAAGCATATCGAAGCCCAATGTGGCTGGAAATTTCTCCCGTACTACATGCTTTACATCACCGTATTTCCCTAGTACTAATGCTAGATCCCTATCTGGGACTTTTGGTGGTAGGTCGTAAACTCTCGACAGATTTTCCCTCGGCATATTGGAAAATTAATTGTCCACGGTTGAGTAGCAAGCAATAAAGCATCGAAACCTCTTGAATTTGATGAGCATAGATTTTTCCTCCGCTATACGGTATATAGCGATCATCTGAGTGGGATCCGCGTAACAAAATTTGCAATTTCTTCCATTGATGGTTTCGCCAAGCCATGTGGGAAGCTGAATCTTATCGTCAGTTTTATTTCTACCGACATCTCCACTAGTTCAGATCCAATTGTTTGCTTTCAACGATGTAACAGCAGAAGTGAACGAACTTCAAACAATGACTCGCACCGAAACAAATACAGAGCTGCTTATGTCGACAGTTGAGCGAACTGATCAGAATTTGTTTTTCGTACTGAGTACCAATGCTACCGACGCCAAGGAGGCAGAGCTCACACACCTGGACCCTACCTATCGACCCATTAACTCATAAACCGGGGACCAACGGCTTTACTTGCCTTCCAAAGGAAGGCGTGATCAGAGATTTTATGCCCCAGAAAATCCCGGCGTTGCCAACTAAGATTGAAGTCAGGCCTTTTGGGGTGAGAGGCAATCATGCTTACCACTACATCACCGGCGCCGCTATCAGGATTTGGTTGTTTAATTTTGAAAAAAAAAACACATCGGTGTTGTACATAATCTAAAAGGGCTTCTTTTTCCAAGAACAACGATATTTGTATCAATCCCATAGACATGCAAAGTCAAGTCCATAGCGAGAGCGTAATTTTGACTTCTTCAGGCGCTAAGGCCAAAGGATTTATCTGATTGTGTAGTCACAAGGAGCACAATTCAAAGGCGAATCTAAATCTACTAAATAAAGGAAATCAATCAATCAATCAATCAATCAATCAATCAATCAATCATAAGACGAATTTGATGGTAGAACAAGACTGATTTATAGATCCAACAAATATGACTTAAATACTAGCTTTTTCGTCGCATTCTTAATGCAACAATGCAAATATGTCGTGCAACTTTCCGTTAATTAGTATAACCTAAAATTATATCGGTGATTCGCCTGGGGCATTTCTAAGAATCTGCAGAACGACAGGGAAGAACGCGTTGAACCCATAGTAATAATTCTATCGCGGCTACCACTCTGAAGGCCCACGCACATTAGATCCGGATCGGACGCGTTGTGGCAAAGTGACAGATAAATCTATTGTCTAACTTGTAGCCAGCCCGGGCGATCCCTCTCTAAAAACGTGTGGCTTAAGCGCCACTCCACAAGGGAGACCACACGCCCAATGTAAATTTGCCCGGTTGAGACTCTCCTAAGGGCGAGTCCATTAAATTTCCTAGAAAGGATTTACGGATCAGGCAAGCCGGCTTTCAACTAAACGTCCAAAACGGGAAAACCCTATTATCTCCATGAAACCGCAAACACGATAGTCACTCAGAGAGTCGGTGAGAGTTCACCCATACCTAAAAACCTCTACAAAAGAGAATTTATCATCATCGGCAGTCTCGTCACTTGCCACTAGACGTCACCCCGATCTGAAAGTGGACTACTCTCCCCAACATTCAAACTCTCAACATGAGGACGGGACACGAAAACTACAACGGAGAACGCGAAGTGATGTCGAATACATTCAATCAATTAAATCTAGGGAGATGATCATTTTACGAAAACATTTATTATTACGGAACTATTCAGGCGGTATATTTAGTGCATAACATTATCCTACGTATATTTATTTACATGTTCCAATTCATTTCGGTTTACTTGTGTGTGTTCGCTCCTATCTCCTATGTGTGTGCGATTTCTCCCTCCCTAACTAACGTGCTCATGTGCTCTACTTAATCATGTGTGTGACGTCACTTTATCGGCAACTCAGCTCCAAACGAGTCTGCGCTCCTGGTGACAACGACGTTGGCGTTGAAAAACGTTACTTTTCAAAGGCGGGAATGCCACATCACGAGTTCCGGAAAAGTGTGTCACGGAAACTCGGCGCTACTCGCTCATCAGTCTTAGACTGGCAAAAAATCACTCCGTGGCGCCCTCGCCGGACGCCACACTCCAAAAATAGAAAAGGCTTGACTCACCAGATGATGTTGGTTTACGTGATGGTCACAGTCGATGACCTATCGACGGGTTCGACGCACTCTTTAGGGATCGTCGATGGTGATCCGATGAATGGAGGTGCTTCGCTGACAATGGCATTTCACACGCCGATGCGATGGCGGTTACTCTGCCGTGCCGGTAGGTTGACGAACCGGCGGGTGGACCGTGTCCACGTGGAGATCCCCTGAGTCTCCTCGGACCGATTACGTGACGGATCCGTCCGCTTCCGGCCGGTTGGCGATTGCCGGGAAATTCCGTCCGTTGGGGAGAAGTTGCTGCGTTTGGGCACGGTGAATTGCTGCGAACGATTTAACACGACTACACCAGAACAGTGAGCACAAGCACGAGCACGGACATGGACAGCACATATTGAGCACATCAAAAATTACATGTAGATGTATCTAGCCTTTCTCCTGATCACACACAATTCTCTAAACGCACACTTATTCTACTAGCTAAAGGAACGAACAAAAATCTTTAATTAATTTTAAACACTAGACATCACTTTAAATTACATACTTTAACTAGGGAAAACGACCACGAACAAACGCGCACACTTCAAGAACGTTGGGAAGTCACGGACGAAATGATCGAGACCGTGAATCCTCAGATAAAGGAAAGTAAAACTCGGACGAACCGGAAGTCCATCATTTCCCGAAACCCTTCGTGTCCTATCGTGAATCTAAAAACACGAAAGATAACTTGGCTCGTTTAAATGCGCGACTGTCCCTTTCCTACCTTATCCAAAAATTAAATGGACCCGTCTTAGGAAAGATTTCAGCAAAAATGCTTGTGTCTTCCTACTGCCTACCCCAAGGAATTTAATTCAAACAATTTAACATTATCAAATTATATACAAATTTATACAAAATTCCTGATCGTTACAAACTGTCAAATTGACGTCAACGCAACGCAAACGGATCTAATGTGGGTGGCCCTTAAGTCATGTACTCTTACGACATACGGTTAAAAGTGGTGGAAGCTGGATGCCACCGAGTGCGTTTGAGTTGTTAGTGTGATTGGTGTTATGTGTTTTACAGTATGCAAGAAGACGGCCTATCAGATTGAGTAGCAATTGTTGATGTACGTTATGAGCTTTATGTAGTGGATTGATGAATGAAAATAGGGAACAGCTGGGTACAAGTAGGTCTACGACAAAAGTAGCTTCTCTTTGGGCTTATCACGTTCCTATGTCAGCCTGCTTTGTGGCCGTATCGTATATAATTTCACATAACTTATTTGAGTAGAATTGAAGATATCATATCAAGAAGACTGGCTACTTTTCCAGAATCCAAGGAACAGATACAGTATATCAGCAGCACACTTGTCACTGAACAATTGTGGTTACTTGTATGCAACTTATTCCAGTATTAATCATGTTGCAGCTCCTTATTTCGATGGAAGTGTGCTGCTTGAGTAGCGCTGCGATTGAGCGGAGATTGAAGCAACGCATAGCAAAATTAACTAATTCACAAACTTCTCTTCTGATGTTAGAATCTTTGCTATTAAAATCGATCGGAGCATTTACATTAGAAATGCAAATGACACCAGTGTGCCTGTCTCATAGTGGTCGTTTAAGAAAATGGTAGAGCTGCCAGTCTTTTTGATATGTTGTCTTCGGTAGAATTCACAGAATCTAAATTGATTTGCCTCCAACAATTTTCCAAACAGACTCACCCACTGTGCCGTTGCCACTTCCCTTAAGATCGAGTTTTCTCTGGTAAAGGTTCCCATCCGGGGTATCCAGCATCCTCGCACATCCACCAAGCCCTCACGCTTCCTTCCATGCCCTGAGTCGATCATACCATTCCGTTCCCTTTCCTTCCATCAGTTGGGCGCATTTTCGTGAAAATGTTTCTCCTGTCTTTTTAAGTGTGGCTTCCATCAAGCCATCCGCCCTCGGGTTTTCGGTTGTTTCGGGAGAAGTTCCCCCGCTGCGTTTCGTGGGACACCCAAAGGGCGACTGTGCACTCCAGCGTTATAAGGCGCCGCACATCAGAGATGGGCCGAAAGCCGTGGGGGTTGAGTGCCGAAAAAGAAACCCAGGCATATTCCGCCTCTTCGCCTTTGCTACTGCTGTTGCTGCTGCCATTGCGATAAAGCACCCCGGGGGAAGGGTAAATGAAAACCATTTTTAGCCCTACCAAGTTGACGTGTAGCAGCGGAATCAGCAGCAGCAGCAGCACAAGAAACGCGATGAGGTATTGCGCGGGTGAGGTGGTGCGGATGGTCTTCTGGGATGAGAAGGGTACGAAACCATGAGCCGCTTTTTTCTTGCTTGCACGGCATTCTGTATCCTTTCGAAAGCGGGTTCAAAGACGAAGGTGGAAGGGGATGCTTTTAAATTTTTTAGCGTTCCTTTTTTCGGGTGCCTGTGTGCTGCTGCTGCGACGTTAGCGTTACTGCTGTTGTAGGAGAGAAAAAAAAGTATAATCAAATGAAACTATGAGCACCGGCGAAATCCACCTTCTCGGCAGAGCCAGTGTCGTTACCGTCGACATCGTCGTCGTCGTTGCACCCTTATGGATTGGATTGTCCTCTTGCCATCACAGGGATACTGGTAAGGATTGCACACAGCATCTGATGAAGTTTTTTTTTTATCTTCAGTGTTTACTGTTGATGGGAGTGGAGTGAAATGTTTGAGTTAGGGTTAAATTTTCAGATATGGATATTTTTTTGTAGTAACCTCTTTGGGAAATATTTTGCAACCATTGTTTTAAGCCATTTTAGTTCAAATTACCTTGAATAGCAATTTTTAAGATTTGTGTATAACTAGTCAAAGTCAAGATAATAGATTTAGCAGTAAAGTCATTCGAGCTGGTATGATTCCTCTTGGAAGACAGAAAATCGTGAGTTCTTATTTTGTTCACGGTCGTTCATTGAACTTCGTCCAATTCACCATATGGCCTTGGTCACACCCTGGACAATAATGGTGGAATTTAATCTACATAAGTCATTATGTAGGACAAGCTGTTTACGTTTGATTGCTACCTACCTGACAAAATTACAAATAACGGGCTGTAAATGAGATTAATGCCCGGTCAGATTTAACCCTAATTCTTAATAAACGAACTTAAATGGATCCAGAGTCGAGGCAGCATGATGATGTTAGCGCAATCTTTCTACCTGTCTGTAAAATATCTGGGAAATCATAACAGTTCATTTTTGAGCAGCGCACAATCCCATACAGATCACTTGCTTAATATAGCATTCGATTTTCAAATCAGAGCGTTAGTGATTAGTCATGATCAGGCATGGAAAATCATTTACATTCATTTCATGCATTCTTTTACATTCATTTGCCTCTAACTTTTTTCATCAACAGCATTCGACAAAATGATGTATAGAAGTAGAAGTAGGTTTTGTTATTAGCTACAACTTTTGACCAAAACTCAAATCTGTATCTCTTATACATCACGAATTAGAGCGGGCAGAACTCGTTACTGTTTTTCAGGGAATATAAAATACATTCACTGAAAAACAGTAATGGATTCTGTTTGCTCTGGTTTGTCATGCATAAGAGATATGGATTTGAGTTCTTAACAAAAGTTGTAGCTAATAGAAAAAACCTACAAAAACTCCATACATCATTTTGCAGAATTCTGTTGATAAAAAAAGTTAGGGGCAAATGAATGTAAATGAATGCACGAAATTAATGCAAATGATTTTCCATGACTGGTCATGATTAATTATTAATGTTTAAGATTAATGATTGATCATAATCACTGATCACAAACTCTTAAGAGATTAATCATAGTTCATTAAGCTATGCCTCACATACTTTGATTAGTATTCATTACTTATAATCTCTGGAAATAATTTTATCAACGAATAATCGTTAATAAGTCTAGGAAATCCGTCGATCACGCAGCTTTTATAAATCCTCGAAATTCAACTTAAGATTTAACGAATATTTTATATTCAAAGTGTTTTTTTATGTTACTTCATACGCGAAGTTAGCGATTTTCAGAGTTGGTTGGAAATGCTAACATGAAGCTTTAGTGTGTTAATTTATTAGCTAGAGAATGATCTTTAGAAGAGAGTAGATGGATAGTTCCGTTAGAGTACGGCAGTATGAAAATTGAATAGAAGTTGAAAATGAGCTAGGGCCATTAATGCGACAGTTTTTAAAGTTAGACGCACATCTTTTGCCTAACCCGTACGATGTACGCGGAGACTTGAAGTATGTCTCCAAGTCTACAGGCTAGAGGAATAGTTTATAATTCTCCCATTAGCGGCACCGGTGGTGTAGTGGTAAGCGTGATTTGCTCTCACCCCAGCAGGCCTAGGTTCAATCCTAGTCGGCGCCGCCGGGATTTTCTGAAGCATCAAATATCTGATCACGCCTTCCTTCGGAAGGGAAGTAAAGCCGTTGGTCCCCGGTTCATGAGCTGATGGGTCGATAGGTAGGATCCAGGTGTGGTAGCTGCCTCCGTGGTGTCGGTAGCATTGGTGCTCAGCACGGAAAACAAGATCGACGGAAAAAAAAATCAAAGAAAAAAAATAATTCTCCCAAAAAATCATTGAAGTTTCCTTGCAATTCACCACAGAAATGTATCAAAATTCTGCTCAGAATTAAAATGTATCTTTTCTTTGAAATATTTTAAAAATAGCTTGAAATTCTCCTCCAAATTCTCAAAAAATGCTACTCGGTATGCTCTTGGAAATATTGTTGAAATTCCCTTGAGTCTCTTTTCAGAATTCCTTTCGATTTATACCCCGTGGGATAATTACTTATCGTGAAAATTACACAAATCTTAAACTTACCGCCGCAAACGTATTCAACTGCACCTTGTGGTAGCACTGGATTCCGGAAAAAAAACCTGCAGTGCCTAGAAATTCCTCCGAACAATCCAGCTGATCGCCCATTTCGCTTCCCTCCACGCCGTATTCCGAAATGTTCTCCAGATAAAACTATCAAAAAATGATGTTCCCCGGACCCTTCACTAAAACGATAGGGGTATGTGGGATGAAAACCCTACAACAGCGAAACAAAACGAAATTTTGGCTTAAGTTCTATAGAAACTCACAATTTTGATATTTTAACCTTAGGGCGTAGGGCCCTATGGATTGAAATTTTTGCATAATTTTCCGTAATCATAAATTTAACTATGAAAACATTTTTAGTCTAAAATTACGAATCGTAACGAAACGCAATATTCAATTTCCGCCAGTAAGAATCAGAAAC